ATATATATATGTATAGTGCATTTCCTGTTAAAATATGTTTGTTCTTTGTTCAGTTAAGTTACTTACGGTGGGAATGCTTATTCAGAAACTTCATTCAGGCAAAAGTAGTGATACTTTGCGAGAATATTACTCAAGTAGAGTAAAAACTAAAGTGTAGTAAAATTACTCCTAGCAGTAATTGTTTCCCTAAAAGTTTGTCAAGTAAATGTAGCTGGGTAAATGTAACTAGTTACTACCGATCTCAGGTAATCAGAAACCTATGATTTGATTTATTAGATATATTGATCACATTTTTGCACTGGCCCATTTGAGCTCTTCTAATCTCACCATTTAGGACAAGTGGGGTCGAAGGTTTGACTCTCATCTGGGTGTTGACCAGGTGGAGTCGGCCCGTCTTCTTGGAGCTTCGCTGTCGGGCCACCACCTTGGCTAAACTTGTTGTGTCATTTGCTCCCGAGCAGAAACAAACCACCTACAGAGAGACAATGGAACAAAAAGTGGTTTATGTTGTCCAGGAAGCTGCTGTTGTTTGATACACAGGTGAAAGAAATCATTAATTAATGACTTTATTGACCAAATATGCTTTGAGAAAATTAAAATATATTGCATTTTCAAAAAGGAGACATGTTTATGATATAACACACGTTATTTTATTATTTAGAGCTGAGAATCTGTTTGAGATTACTGATAAATATACATGTTGAAGTAAAATGAGGCAAAATATGCCTAAGTCTTGGTACAACGTGTAATAATTTTGTGTTTGTAAAGTTTGTTTAAGGAAAAAAGACAAACGTGGAAATCCTACAAACTATAAAAGTGTCTTCAGCAGAGGAATAGAATCTGTAAGGGATATCCTTAGGAAACAGGAATACCTGATAGGACACATCATCCTTTAATTTGGTCAATTTTCTGCCTAGTTGGGTCTAATAGCTCTGTGGGAAACACTTTGTTAAAGCTATGTGTCAAACTGTGTTATCCAAAGTATTTTTTTGATTCTCAAGTACTGGACAGAAAATAAAAAAAATAAAACAACAAAACAGTTTCACATATTTCTAAATCAGACAGCCTCACCTCTCCAGAACGGTTTCTCTCCATGTGAACGTTGGACATGTTGGCCAGCAGAGCCTCCAGCTGGGTGTGTCCAATCTGCTCCCCGGTCAGCTCCTTGTACTCTGACTGCAGTCGGGACAGAGACACCCCTCCTTTGTTGGACCGGAGGATGGCTCGCAGCATCTTCTTCACCAGCTCCACGTCTGCCATCTGAGGAAAAGAAAAAAAAAAAAAACAGGTTTATAAATGAAGTAAACAAAACTTTATGGCAAACCTGACAAAATCTATAAAAGTAGACTGAATGAATTTCAGGTTTTCAGAGATATTGTGAGTCGATAGGCTACTGATAAAAGTCAGTAGAGACTAGACATGGGTTTTTACGATGTAAAAACAAGTGTGCATTGCCATGTAGCATGGCTTTGCCTGCAGCATTGGACTTGCAGAAGGAACTTTGACCAAGTTCAAATGTATTTTCTAAACCAGCTTGTGCCTGTCACGTCAGCAGGTATTTGTAATTAAGGTAATTGTGTGACAATATGAAGTTGGAGGAGATTTTTTGTTAAAGTTGCGTTAGCTGGGTTTTGAACCCTGATCTCCCACATGAAAGACCATGACATAGACCATTAGACCAATGGAACTGTGGCAGAAGGTGGTGGCAGGGGTTGCTTTGTATGTGTGCAGAAAGAGGMCACATTGCCAATACAATTATTGACACTAAACTGCATAAAATGACAACAATAGAGCAGTATTAAGACAAATTTATAGTAAAACATGAAAGTACAATCATATTAGTATTGAAACACTGAACAATTGAGATTAAATATTATTAAAGTATGGAGCAGTACCAAGTTGAGTACAGCTGGGGGCAGTATTGGACCATTACAAGGCCCCATTGACTCGCATTTTATGAATTTGGAGTAAAGTTTCAACATTAATATTTCAAAAACTACAAGTTGTACAGGTACCAAAAGGCATAGCAAT